GAGAACTTGAAATGACTTAAAAAAAGATGCTAATTCACAGATGACAAAATAAACAGGTACAAGTGCACATTACACACTTTCTGAATATGCTTTAATGTTATTGCTCCAAATGCCTGCTTAGATGTTTTTTTTTTTTGATTGTTTTAGGCAATTTCACTTGGCATAAGACTGTGATCTAAGTGGAAATGATAAAAGAGACATTGTCACAATGGAGCTAGTGGCTCTGAATCATACCTCCTGCATAACCATTTCTCTCTTTTACTGGACCTGCTAATATTAAGGATGCTTTTGAGCGTCTCTTCTCTGTTACTGAGATATTTACTATACTCTTGTGGTAAGCATTTTCATGGAACAAAGGGTCTGAGTAAAAGGTCTCTTTAAAGAACTGAACTGTGGTGACTGGAGATAACATATAAGTCAAGTCATTTCTATCCGTCAATTGAAGTACTCTTGCAACCCATTTAAGCATTGCAATTCTATCTTTAAATAAAGTTCATGGTATTATCACTTACTGTCTTCTTAGAAAGTAAGAGTAACAACAGTAAGCCAAATGAGAGGCTTCTGCAACCCAGCATGATCTTTCCAGTTGTGACATAGCAAATGACATCACACGGGTATAGGAAGGGTAAAAGCATGAGGTTTGAAGATTTGGTGGGCCCTGTATCTACAGGACTGTGTTATACAAAACTGAATTATGCACTCCATGTGGAAAGCTCTTTAATCCCGTTGTTGTTAAATCATATTATGTTAGAAAGGTTGAAAAGTCAAGATACTGAACATGAAATCCCAGATCTACATACTAAAAAAAATGTTTCTGAATTGGATTTCAATCATGAGGTTGTGTACACACGTAAGAATTTTATTTATTTATTTATTGAAATGCAACAGAAACATTAATATCATAGATTAAATTTGGGCTTTAGATTTCTGGCTTACTTTTCTAATACATGGATTATTTTGGTTCTCAATGTATGCATATTGTTCCAGCCATTATATTAAAATGGGAGCAGGAAAAGAATGGTAAGGCTTGATGTAAATGTATTGAAGGTTTGCCCTTCTGTGTCTTCTCTTTGTGATATATATCTTTTAAAACATCTGTCTTGTGCCAAAATCATTTGAACCAAGAACAGAGGACACTTCCTTCCACAGCTACCTTATGCCCTCTGAATGCAGTTGTTGAGAATAGAAAGCATAATGTGAATTTGGACGTGGATGGAGACACGAAGTGCATGAAGATTATATTTCATTCACATTGGAAAATAGAACCTCAGCAGTAAAAGATGTCAGCATTGTTGAGCCAGCATCTTAAAAAAATGTACTTATTCCAAAGAAGAACTAAATTTGCCCTACACAGAAGGAAATAATTCTTTGTAAAATTAATGTTGATGTGAACACTCATAAACACTGTGGCTACGGAATGCTGTAGGGAACGTGGACACCTTCCTCTTGCCACTCTAGTGATCAAACTTCCTGCTCTAATACATCAAGTTCTATTTTTAAGTAGATTGCTTCTGATTTACAGAAGACGGCATATAAGTAGTATAAGTAGTCTTATCTTCAGGAGTCTCCATTCTCATACACAGAAAGTATAATTTCTCCTCTTTTTGAGTTATATCGAATGCAATGCAGCACCTGTGAGACTGTGGATATCCCAGTGTTAGCAGAGATGGAAATGTAGTCTACTTCAATGTAAATTATGTCAATGATAATGGAAAACACCCTCAAACATTTCTACCACTTTCAGTGTAGCCGTATGAGGGCAAAATCCTACCTTTATTTTTTGTAGATAGGTACTGACATATGCTAGTGGAGTCATTTGAGACTGAAAGTGTCACCTGTTTTCTGTGATAATATAGACCAAAAGCTTGCATAAGCTGTAGCGTATACTGTGCACATGGATAAATCCTTTGATTTCTATGAGCGTTGATTAAAGCAGAAATTGATGCAATGTGTTTTAGAGATGCTTTAATCCCTCTCCATTTCATCCTGAATTATTCAGAACATTGAAAGTAATGCTTAATATAGCTAAAATTAATTAGTAGAATTAATTAGCTATTGGTTGATACATAGTACCTTAAATATGCAGGTGGTTCTCAATGAAACAAAAACAGGTTTTAGAAACCAAACTCTCAAGATGTCTCTCAGGCTGAGGCAGACTGATCAAATTCGGACCAAATCTGTTTTTCCTCCCACATCTGCTCTCAGTTTACATGCGAGTACATGAATTTAAAATCAGCACAATTACGTATGTGTAACTGAGAACAGAATTTGGCCCTTCAGCTGCCTCTGCACCTCTCCTTTCTCATAAAATTTTATTTTTCTTAGCAAATGATTTAAATATGTTCAGTTATGTTCTTGTTCAACATAGATATCTGCTCATTAGGCATCTGTGTTGTGGAATAAGCTGTGGATCAGCAGCTAAGCATGAGAGTTTAAACAGATCCCTATAAATGTTAGTTTGTTTCAAGTCCAGCAAAGATGTGGAGCTGTTCGTCTTCATTAAATAGCTGGTGTATCCCTGAGATTTTGGTATTTAAAGGGCATCATTTTCCATCCTACGCCTCATAATCTTCATATTGCACCTCTTCATTAAATATTACTTCCAGGCCATGATACTCTGCTTACTATTATTTAATTTTCTTTCTTTTTTTTTTCTTCTTTTTTTTTTTTTTTTTTTTTTTTTTTCCCATTACAACTCTTTCTTCAGAGCCAAAACTGGATTGCTCTTACAGGCAAAATCTTGGTGAAACTCCCATTGAAGCTGATGCAGCCAATAATTGGCTCTGTGTTTTCATTCAGATGACTCCTTTTAGTGGCAGCTGGCACACATTTAGGAAAGCTATAGGCACCCTTGGTCTCTATGTTATTCCCACTGATTAAGTCTAAAAAAGGATCTCAGTGCTTATTCCTTTGCAAGTGTTTTGCTGCTACTCTTTTTTGCTAAACCAATTTTTCTTATGAAAATTTTTCTACAAATGTTATATCTGTTAGCACTATATTCCCTGTTGGTTCATATGTGATGACTGGGTTACTTCTCAGAGCACCTTAAGTACAATATAAACAGAGTTCACGTTATATATTCATAAAAAAAGAATAAATTTCCATGACATTTATGCAAACTTCTGATCTAGATTGTGTAAATTGCACATTCTTTGTGCACAAAGAATGAGCCTTATTGTACTAGTGGAAATAATCAGAACAGTTAAAAGGAAGAATTATTTATTCCAAATCCATGTAAATCTATAAGACATCAGAAATGAAGATGATAGTGCTTGGATCTTTCGGATTAGGTGGAGGGAAAAATAAAACAGTATGGATGTGTCAAAAAGAACAAGTTAACCTTAAATTCCCTGCTGGCATCCTTAGCTTGCACATATGTTTGGCAAACATGAAGTACTTGAAATATGAGACCTGGCAGTCTCATGGTGCCAGACATAGTTAGCATTAAAAATATTCTCCCAAATTATTAAAAGGTGCTCCAAAGCTGCTGCAAAAACAAAGAATTCCTAACTCTGAAACATACTCTTTGCACAAAGTATGTACGTGTCTCACTGTCCTTTAATACTAAAAAAATTCAGATACATTCACTCACTGCGTACACATAATCCTCAAAAATGCAGCTACCAAACATCTCCAGGTAGCAAAATCACTGGCAGTATGGCTTTAAAAAACTTTTATTTACCCCTCCTTAGCCCATCATATGGCAATTGCTTTAGATTCTTGTGGCCAACAAAGGCTCTCCATCTCTTGAATCCTCTGTGCTTTCTCTTGCCAGAATTTCAGCTTTTATATTAATCGTAAGGAAGTGAATGGGGTCACCATTCATTCAATTTCTGTAATCTTATCAGCTGCTAAACTTCATTGCTAAACAAGGTATACATCTTACCTTATTTAAGTACTGCAATTACTTTTACCTTATTTCAAGTTTAGATGATGTCACTTCAGATAGAATAAGTGTATCCATCCAGAATACGGTTATTACATGAAATGCTGAAGGTCACTTAGAGGTAAACTTTCCTACTGTGCACGGGATTTATGCACATACACAAATACCATTTGTCTTCTGCAAGAATAGTATGGGTCAGGGGGAACTGCTGCTTAAAATACTCAGGAGAAACCAGAAGGCTGAAAAGCTGTACCGGTTTGAATGAAAACGTGCTCTAAAAAGTGGAAGTGGGTAATTTGTGTCAAAACAGCCTTTTTTTATCAAAATCAATAGAAGGCTTCTTCAACACCCTGATGAAATAATTGCTATACTCCACTGAAATATTTTTTAAACTAGGAAAACTCAACATATTTTAATATTGAATGTGGAAATATTTAAAATGTTCAGAATTGTTACATGGCTCTTCATTATCTAATACTGATTACCTTAATGTTATGGGTTTTTTCCTCCTATAGGGTTTTCCCCAATATAAGGTTTTATGTTTTATTTTCCTTCAGAAAGTTACAAAAGAGAAGTCTGCCAGTGAAATGGGCAAGCTTGTCCCCAGCCAGCCTTCCTAATGTGTAAATAGAGATAGGCATGTTAGCTGACTTCCCAGTCTTACCGGTAATGTTCTACCTGCACTGAAGGTGTTCTGCAACCAAAGCAGGTAAAAAGCATGAGATCTCTCACACTCCTGTGCCATGGGACCCCTAGCACATTCCAGAAGAAGTTAGTAAGAATGGCATCAAACTACTAAAAACTTACATTAATCTAAACTAATGCTTATAGGATCTGCACAAAGAAATACCTTGAGTTTTTGATACATAGGCTGTTCATTGCAAGGCAATGATACCTTTCTTTGGTGCTTTTGGTAGCTGTAGCATACCTTCCTTAGGCTCAGTTAATTGACTTTGGCTGTGTTATGTTCTGATGATTTTAGTTCACAGCTCTGCTCAGCTTGGTCTTCTTACGAATGGCTGCAGCTCTGTGAAAGAGAAAGTGGGGACTGTGCTAACTAAAGGCACTGATATCAGTATGGCTATGCTCTTATCGGTATGTTTTTTGTTTTCATAAGTTAGATCATGAATGTCCCTTGGGGAGACTGACTTCGCCAACTTCAGGGAATATGTAAGTAAATGTTTACTTACTGAAGCTGAAATAATAGAAATTTATAAGTCACCTTTTGTAGCAGGGCTGCAGTGCTGACTGGCCGCAAAATTCTCAGGTTAGTGGACCACTGGTTGGATGATTTCTCTTGTTCCCAGAAGTATTTAATATAACCTGAAGTCATGTCATTTTGCTTGCCTGTACAAGTTGCTTTAACATTCCTATAATGATGTGATCACCAGTACCTAACGCTTAGGGTTGTGATGATGTGTCAAGGTCTGAGTTACGTTCTTTCAATTTCTGAATAGTGCAGTGTTCATTTCTACACATCAGCAGGAAGAATGCTCTCACCTTTGATTGCTAAGCCAGGTTTTGAGACAGAGATCTGACATGGGGCTGACATTCGTGAAAGAGAGGATAGATGTTTGACCATTCATTATCTGTAACTGGCATTTCATAAGCACATATTTCATGTACAGACTACAGCAGTGGCTTGATGAACTTGACCTAGGTAAACATGCCTCCTTTGATCCAAATTTTGCTTTGTTTTCACAACTTTTTGTGCTGATAGATAGCAAGCTACAAGCTAAACCTTTCTACTTACTGTGATTTTTTTTTTTGGGGGGGGGATGTATTGTGGGATGTTTTTTAGCTGGGGCTAAAGGGAGGTTTTAGCTTATCACCAAAAGAAATGCTGCTTGCTCTGAAAGTTCCTACTATCTATAACATTAAGTGAATAAACTATGCATGCCTAATTACTAAAAAGTGCAGCTTTATATGAAACTATTAAATGTGATTGCAGAGGCAGTATAGCAGCTCAACTGTCTGATAGGAGCATTATAATCATGATCATCTGAGTTGATTGCCCCAGTGATGACATATCCTTGAAGCCATGCAGACCTGGAGTGTAGTGGAATTGCTAAGTCACAGCTTGAACCAGTGATTGAGCACCTGGTGGAAAGCAGGGCCAACCTAGGAGAGCTCAGGTGCATGCAATGCTTCTGAGTGCAATTCTGCAAGGATTGGAGTCAGGTTACACCCCTTCCCAGACCTCATTTAAGGGTTGGCAGTGGAGGCAAAAGTATCTTTCTGGAGATTTCTGCGCACGTGAGTCCTTCTGAAGGAAAGTGGTTTCTTTCCTTTATTTCTGTGACAACTGCTGTTGTATTTGAGAGAATCCTTATTTGCTGCAGCCTGGGATTGTGCTGCTCTGCTGTTATTGTGCTTTTTATTCTATTACATGGAGTAAAGTGGGTTGAGGGCACTTTCATAAAACAGTGCTGTGTCTCTCTTCTGCTCAGATGCTCTCTGTCAGCTAGGTTGAGATGAAAAATACTGATGATTACTGCCCATCAGTAGCACCTTTTGGCATCTAAACCTCGTCACTGGAAAACAACCAATTGCCCATGTTTTGCATTATAATGGAGGTCAAGTGAACAGTACTGTATGTTGTTTTTATGCAAAGAAAAAAAACCTTCTGAAAATATTTGCTTATGCTTCTAAGGCCTGTGGTAGTTCATTTGTCTTTAAATCTGCAAAATTAGTTCTAAGAGACAGCCAGTGTCTACATGATTAAAACACTTTTTTTTTTTTTTCCCCCCAATATTTTTCAAAAGAACATGGTACAAGGATTTATGGAAGTGCACCATTTGTCCTCTATTCTTAAAAGAAACTAAACATGCTGGAGGGAGCAATGAAATCTGTTACATTAACAGCACTGGCTATAACCCAGCAAGTTCTTCCCTGTTTGTTATTCTCCTTCACCTATGCCTGTAACAAATACAGTAGAAACAATGTATCAGATGAGCATGCATTTCCTATCTCAGGAAACTTCTAAAAGTTACGGCTGCCATATATTGCTCAGCTTATTGGTCATGGCTGGCTGTATGTTAGCAGTGACCAGCTGCAATCTGCTTTTAATCACTCATTCTTCCTAACTGCTTAATATTTTGAAGATCAGTTTGAGCCAGACATAGCAGGACTACCTGTGCACAGGCTGTCAGAGATGGCCTACATGGAAGATAGTAGTTAAGCATCAAATTTAGTGATATAAAGTTTTCAGAGCACAGGCAAATAAGTGAAGGCTTCCATGTCTCCATCTCTGGCAGAGTGATAGGCTGGTGTCAAATTAAACACAGGTTAAGGGAGGAGGTATGGTATTGGTCACCTAGTGAATGCACATCTCACATAAACTGTCAGGATTTTTTTCTGCGCGTAACTGATTGCAAAGAAAATGTCATCAGCTCTATAGAAAGACATACAAAATAATATCTAGATTTCCTTTTACTGCATTTTACATTTGTAAATCTCTTTAAGATTGTTATCTGTTATGAGGGTATCTAAGATGTTGCTAGTTTAATTGGCAAGGAGCCAGAACATAATATGTAAAAGTAGTTGGTGGTCTCTTCAATTTAAAATTTCTTAAACCCTCCTGCTTAGCACTGAGCGCTGTAGAGAGGTTAAGTCTTAGCTAGAAACTGAATTTTGAGGGCAGGTCCGCAACAAAGGAATCATGAAATACCTCTACTGCTTCCTCTTAATTCGATGACAGACTCTCAGACTCTGTGGAAATAGTTAGTTTTTAAGACCAGTCTGCCTTTAATTATGCCAATAAACTCTGTATGTCTATCAGTCTATTAGGGAAAACATTGCTGGCATTGCTTTTAACACAATGTTTTTAATTTGCTTAAAGGATAGGAAAATAGAGTTAAAACAATTGTCCTCAAAACAGGACTTAAAGGATGAAAAAATAAATGTTGAGTTTGCCAGTGGCTAAGAATGGATTTTCAGCAGTCTGACACAAGATTTTCCTTATTTTCCTGCCAAAATAATGCAATGAAATGTAGAAACATAAATGAAACACATGCTAAAAGTAACAGGTAATGGGCCACATCCTTGAATTCCTATTAGTACCCAATAACTACATAAAACTGGGAACTGTAGACGTGGAGCCCTTATGAGATTGCTGTGGTGTACAGGAAGTCACATACAGAGTCTGGGGCTTCTTAGAGAGGAAAAAGGAGCAAAAAGGGTCCGCTCTCAGTGAAAGCATAATACAAGTCCCTACGTAACTCAGACACAACAAAAACCATGTTCTTTGTCCTTGCTTTTCTTAGATGAGAATCCTCTCTTGACTGGACACACACTCAGAGTTTTGGGAGTCTTATCTTCACATATTTATTCTGGGAGAAGGACAGGAAACATTTGCCTGCCTTGCTTTCCTGCTGCAGGACTTTCAGGGCTAGTTCAGAATAGGTCTGTGCAGCCTATGTGTGGTATGGGAAGGGAGTTCAATGGAGAAGGAGGGAAGGGAGCACATACCCCCCAGGAGGTCACTTTGCTACTCATGGACAGAGCTTACTGTTTCCAGCATGGTCTAAGCCTTCTGCTACCCAACCTACATCCAACCTGGGTTTCATCCTGGAGAAAGTCTTTGTCTCACAGGTGTCTGATGTTCATGAACAACCAGTTCCAGATAACTTTTACCAACTTACAGGGCAAGAAATTGAGTATCTGAGCACTCGAGGCCCAGCACAATTTAAATTTACTGCTTCTTCTTCTTCTTCTTCAGTTGTTTATCTTTTTTTTTCATTATAGCTATTCCCTTTTCTTCTTATGTTTCTGATATATTAAAAATCTTGTGCTCCACTGTGATTTCAGGAATTTTTCTGTTTAAAACTTGGTTTATCATTCAGTAAATAATTCTCAAGAGTTTGATGTTTTGCCTCAGCATAGGCTGAGTATGCAAATGATGTGGTGAGTTAACATTTCAGAAAATACAATTTCTAGAGGGAACCTCTTGAATGTTGTGTCTCTTGGAAGCTTATTCTGTTTGACACTAGTAAAAGGCAAAGGTCCCAGTTAAAATAAAAAAGACAGTTGTTTACATAAGCAGATCGTAGTTACTTTAATTATTGCTTTTGGCAGGATCCTAGAAGTTTAATCTTTCCTAAATCCCACAGCAATGTCTGCTGGCTAAATGATTTAGTTACAATGAAAAAATATCCAGCCACTGCCTAACCTAACTGCAGCCTACACTACAGCAGTGTTACCCAAGATAGTTTCACTTGGATGAAACGGGAAGATTGTTCTCATTTACTAATTCAGTTAGAAGCCCAAGGAACATGAGATACATATAAATCTAATTTCTTCAGCACACTAATTCAAATAGACTTTAGGTCTTTGACTTTTCAAGAACTTATTTATGTTTCCTTATGTTGGTCAGTTGTTGAAACACAATTTGCTCAATTACCTCTTTGGGAGGCCAGTTTTGTATGAAAAAAAAAAAAATACATTCACAATATGGGCAAAGTGGCAAAAACGACCTGTCAATTGGAAGGAACTACTCCAGCATGCATTGAAATATATTTCACTATAATGGAATTTGTACATCCTTAGCCTATTCTTGAAAATACAGTGCAAAATATCAGAAAGCATGGATAGGCTGTCTTTTCTGGGGCAACTGGTGAGTGCAGCTAAAGCTGGGCCACCACCTGAGGTCCAACTCCAATACCAATGGTCCAAAGGAAATTCTTTGGAGCCTCTGTGGGATTTCTTTAAAAATCTAACTTATTACTTTGAAAATCTATTTTAACTACAGAGTTAGCTAGAACATTTAATTTTTCTTGCATGAGGAGTGACTTAACATCATCAATGAATGATACCTTTCTCTTGAACTTTTTTACCTTACCAACTTTTCTTTTTCTTTTAGCCTTTTCAGATTTAGTGATCACACCACCAAAGCATCCAACCATTCAATTGGCAACTGCCTGTGACTGAGCCACATTCATTACATGTGCTAGCACTGCGAGCAGCCAGTCTATATTCATCTAGGTTACACTGAGATCATATCTCCTCACCAAATAAAATTTTTATCACTTTAATATTAAGAAGTAGACATCAGAAAAAAAAGCAAGTATCTGCAAAATATTTTATAACAATTCTCTGTGAAGAGCCTTTACTCAAAGAATGACTTAACCCCTCCTTCAGTGTTAGAGTACTAAGAATCTTTCCATTTTTGGAAGCCTCTTTTAAACACAAGACATAGAACATATCAGATGTGATAACTGAAGATACTTTGTAACATATGTATACATATTTAATTTCAAAACTGGTGTACAATACGGTACATTTTACAGAAGCAGGGATCTCAGCAATATCCAGTAGAAATTATGGTTTGGATTAAGCTATTAAGTGACTTAGAGCTACTGATTTTTTTTGTTTCAGTTTGGTTTTAACTTTGATTGTTTGTTTTACTCTTTCTGTTATTTAGAAGCAGCACATAAATACTGTATTTTTTTTCCCCAGTACATGTTGTATTAGTGGATGCTCTTGAATCATTTTAGTGAACCCCGGCATAAGAATAGAGGAAATATATTCCACATACGACCCTACAGCAAGAATTCATACTTTGTGTTAAAAATGATGTTAAAGATAGTGTTAACATCTTTTTTGGTACTGTAAGAGAAAAGGAGAATGTGTATGGAGGTTAAAGGGAATAAATAAAATGGACTAAGCTTTTTCTTTCACATTAAAAATTGAATCTAACTCTTTCCAAAATGCCTTTTGGGCTATTGGATATAGATCTCCTGACAGCTGCAGATGTAGTCATAGCAGTATTAGAAAAATACAGTTTTTTTCTTCCAAAGTTCAAGACCTAAGCACTGCCTAAAAAGGGAGACATGCCTTCAAGCATTGAACTTTTGATATTCTTCTGACTTTAATGCATACCAACACTTGGAGTTCAAAGAATGGATTTAGTTACCCAAGGAAAAAAAAACAACGTTCATTTCAACCATGATTATGTAACAGTGAGCAATATAACGTAACTTTTACTTGGGAAACCTTGAAAATGCCTGTCTGCTGTGCTTTTCCTTTTGGAGTGGTGTAGGGACAAAAGGTTGTTATTTTCAATCTTCTGAAACGTTTCAAAGTGAGCAAACATTTCTGAAATGTAAAAGCAGAGATCTCTAGCAGGTAGCAACATGAATGCCTTCAACCACCTATACTATGTAGTTCCACACTGAGAGTGATGGCTATCTACCCATATACGCATATCAGTCCAGATATATATAGCCACTCATTTTATCTGGGTCATTGTTGAGGTGCTCTGTGCACGGCTGGAGCCAGAGGTGCATTTCTGGGGCTGGCAGGGGAGTAAGCTAGTGTTCAGTCTATTTTGGGAAAAATTTGAGGCTGCCCTATGTTTCAGTCAGCATCAGCTCTGCTAAGATTGCAGTTGTATGCTTTTGTCCAGATGAAATGCATGCTACTGGGTTTGTTTTTTCTTGTTCTCAGCTGAGCACTTTCAGGCAGCCCAAAGCTCTGATGCAGCACGTGAAGCAGTCACACAAAGACTAGAGCTGCACAGGGAAGTGCATTGGCCCTCCTTTTTTTCAGTAGTGGTACAGATTGTTGTAATGTTGATAAGGCTGCAGAAGTAGAACCTTAAAAGTAACTTCTTCTGCAATCCAGAATTTGAGAAGATGGAAGAGACCAATGATCTTTTTTTAAAAAACGAGGCCATTGAAGGGCTACCAGGTCTGACTGTAACCATCAAGCATTTCTGTAGATCAGAAATGGGTTAATGAGTTTTTATCCAGCCTGGCAAACAAACAAAGCTAGGCCTATAGAAGACCATTACACAATAATGATGTTGCCTCAATCGTGTGGAATATATAAGTAAGCCTCATTGTTGAGACAAATGCTACATCATTATCACTTAAACTAGAAATTGTCCTTACCTCAGAAAACAGTAGTTAGCTCAAAAAGCAAGAAAGAAATTTGTAGTATTTTATAGTTGCATTTACAGTGCTTAATCTTGGAAAATGAAAACAACAACAAAAACAAACAAAACACCAAACCAAGGCATTCTTCCTAGCAGTAAGTGAGGGAAAGTTTCACAACAGGAATGTACTGTTCACTCTCCCTTTTGAGCATGCAAATATTATTGAGAAGACTCAGAGTGTGGCCTGTTCACTCAGAAGTACTAATCCTGCTTAATCCTTATTTCTATGAGTGTAAGTATCTTTCTTTGGAAGAAAACAATGATAAAAAAATATGTGATTTACCAAAGATTGAATGGACTACTTACCTGATGTAGAATGTTTTCAGGTTCTGAATTACAGGAAAGCCTTTGTTTTGCTGAATCCAATTGATTTCAGGTGAACTAGTTAAAGTTTCCATTTGTTTTAAAAATCAGTTATCTAAAATATGCTTAATATTTGACACATGGAGGCTTCAAGAGAGTTTGAATATAAAGCAAAAAGAGTTTGGCATCCAGCTGGACCACTGAGCCTGCTGGCCACATTTGCAGTAATAATTGGGTTCCTTTTTGCTCATTTGGCAACATACTGGGTCTTTGAAGTCTATATTTTCTCTCAGCATCTCTCTCTAAGTTTCTAAAGGGCTCTGCTCCAGCTTTGACTCCAGGTCTCTCACATGGGGCTCTCACTGGTTTGCCACATGTTCTTCACTCGTTGTCAATACCTGTGTAGCAGAGACCCAAAGTCCTGAACATGTGCCAAAACCTGGATGAAAACCACTGGTTTCCATAATGCTGGTTCTTAATCTACTCTGGGATTGGGCAAATGCTCTTTTCCTTGGTTTCCTGATCAATTAAAGGAGTATCTTAACGTACATAGTTTTGGAGATAAATACGTGAATTGTGTGGAAAAATTTTCTATCTCAGCACCTTGGAAGATGACTCCAGCTTCAGACATTGGTCCTTACCTATCTAGCTACACAGAGTTAATAAAAGTAACTTTTCTGGCACCAGAGGCCAGAAATTGGTATGACCTGACCTTCCTGTAACTTTTTATCCCACTTTGGAAATACCTATCTAGTCTATTTATTCTTCTTTATTATCTATGTATCTATTATTGTTTATTATTATTCTGGATCATTCCTTTTATATCAAGTGGACTTAGACTTCAAAAAAGAGAGGAAATAAGCATTTTCTTATTTTTCAGATAAGGAGTGCTAAATCCAAAAGCAGGCAGTGAAGCCTTTTGTGGAAATATTTCACTATGTATTTATTTGTATATGCACATATAGGCATACAGATATAAGATTATAGGAAAATTATTGACAGTTATATAAGACAAATGAACATCCCAGGCCTTCATATGGCCCTCATATTTATATTCTCATAGACTTAAGAGTTACAGATGTGTACTGTTTCTTGTTGAAATGCAATTTGCTTTCATAAATACCCATGATTTTTAATTCTTAGTGAATGGGGGAAAAGTATAAACAGAAAGTTCCAGAAATATTTCCCTAGTAATTTTCTAAATTTTTTTTTTTTTTTTTTTCTTTTCAATTTAAACCAATACAGTGTAACAGTAATGAATTCCTGAAGCATGGTATTCATGGTTGTTTTGAATCATAACAGGTTGGTTGTCTCTAAGTGCATTATCATTAAGTTCCTGTCTTATTATGGCACCAATGTTAAAGGAACACTCTACATAATCTCAAGTGTTTGGAACAGGGAGAGTGAAGTCATTACCTAGAGTTAAGGAGGAATTGTTTCACTGGACCAAAGCCACCATATTTAGCCTTGTATCTGGTTTGCTAAAACTTCTTCCTGTAAAAAAAAAAAAACAAACAAACAACAAAAAAACTACGCAGAAACTAAAAGAGTTTTGATTTGGGAAGGAGGCTGAGAGCAAGTAGAATTTCCAGTGAGAGCATGTCACTGTGCATAGCTTAGCCTGGAGAATAGGTTTTACTCTCCTCTTGGAAGACAGAAGTTTAAATTACATTTCCCTTTTTTTTCTTTTTCCCCACAAAGATTTTCTCACCTCACTGTGAATTGAAACAGTATAGATTTCTAGTATAGAATTCTCAAATACCAAGTTTACAGTAAAAGTTCTTCCAAGTAGGGTGCTGAGTTTTCTAAGTAGCTCCTTGCCATATGATTTCAATGAGTTCGTTCTGTGCTGACACAGAAGGAGATTTCAAGACACATTTTCTATGTGACAAAGAATTGTCATGCAAGTCTATCTAGTAATTTGCAAACCTTAGCCAACAATGAGAACAGGAGCTCTGAAACAGGAATTATACATTAAAGCAATACTATGGTAAGGTAATTACTTACAAAAACATGGTTTGTAAAATGATTGTTTTTTGTCATTGTTTATTAAGAAACTACTTTTCATCAGTCGTATTCTTTTACAGAGATAGACAGACCTGTCTGGAAAAGAAAAAGGAGATCACTAAGTGGTTTACAGGTAAGTCTAAAGTATATTCATGACTTCAGAATAACTTATAAAATTCAACATGTATAGGACCAGTATAAAATGTCTTCAACATAGCAAGCCAGAAAGTTTTAGCAAAATGTTTTCTTTGGAGATAGTTGTCAGAGCCCAAAACAGATCAATTAAAGTATTTTGAATGCCACTTCAGATCCCTGTCTTTGGAGCAGATAAATCTGTGGTGTGCCCTTGTGGCCAAGAAGGGCCGTGGTATCCCAAGGTGCATTAAAAAGATCATGAATAGCTCTACCCTGGTGAGGCCACATCTGGAGTTTTGTGTCCAATTCTGGGATCCTCAAATCAAGATAGGGAACTTCTAGCGAAAGTCCAGTGGGTGGCCACAAAGATCAGTATGGACCTGGAGCATCTCCCTTATGAGGAAAGGCTGTGAGACCTGGGACTGTTCAGCCTGGAGAAAACTGAGAAGAGATCTTATCAGTGCCTACTATTATCTATAGGATGGGATGCCCACTGACAGAACAAAGGGTGATGAGCACAGAAAGTTTCATAAGATATGAGAAAAAACATCTTTACTTTGAGAGTGATAGGGCTCTGGAGCAAGCTGCCCAGAAAAGTCATGGGGCCTCCTTCTCTGGAGTTACTCAAAACTACCAGGATGCTTTCCTCTGTGACATATTGTAGGGAACCCACTATAATAGGGAGTTGAACTAGGTGATTTCGAGAGGTCCCTTGCAACCCTTACAATTTTGTGATTTTTTTTGTTGACAAGAAAGCTGGTCTCACTAGCAGTGAATAAGAGGTTTACAGTTCATTGATTTAATCTAGTTGGGATGTAAATGACATTAAAAAACAAAACAAAACAAGACAAAACAGAAAAAAAAAACCCAAAACTCAGAACATTTTTTTACAAACCAGAATATTACTTCCTAGTACTGAGCTATTTCTTGTTCTAGTGGTTTCAGCAGTCAAGAAAATTCAGTAAAAACTTCAAAAATAACTTCAGTCAGAAGGTTCACTAAAAGCCCATCAACGACTTTACACAAATGAAGGTGCAGAGTGTGGTATAGTTCAAGTCACTTAGCAGAACGAATTTAAAAGTTTTGCAGAAGACAGATTGGAAACTGCAGATCATGTTGTCATTTTCCAATGTGATTTCTAGCTGGCCCCTGATAACTCAGAACTGTAGAACTTAATGACGATGTCAAGAAAACCTATTCTACCCAGTTATTTTCACAGACAATAGCAGTCATAGCAGCAAAGCAATATTGTGACTAATGCTGTTTTGGTTGTAGTGATGTTGTGGTAGGAAGTGGGTGTCAAGTTCTCTTGGTAACAAATGGGGGATAAATGACACACTGAGTCATCAATGAATAATTATTTGGTTTTTGCTGATTTTTAGGTTTTGTTTCCAGATTCTAAAATTATACTGGTTTTAAGATGATTGATGAAGATGAACACTTAACAGCGTTCACAAGTGTGTGCTAGTAGTCAGATTATTAGTAGATCTCCTAATGCTATGAAAACAGGAATTTTAAATACATTTTTTACTTCTTTCAGCTAAAATCATTCAGCATTAAAGGACGCCCTTCTTCTTTGTAGGAAAAAAAAAACAAAAAAAAACAGAAAATGAAGGTAAAAGTATGAACTTTTGGTGGCCAGCAGCAGAACCACTGAGTTCAGTACATTTCAAGGAGGTCTGGATTTCACTTGCTAAGCTGACAGGAGCTCATACCCTGCAAGCACATGCTGTACAGCATGCCGTACAGAAAAATGGATTACTGTCTTTTACTGTGGAAAACAAATAGATTTCTATAATCAATCAATATAAAATTATAGCATATTCTAACGTGAACAGCTAGGAACTCCCTCAAATTTAGACAGTGCCACAACTGAAAGCAGGAAATAACAGGTTGCTAAAGAGAACAATGAAGCTATCTACTTAGTGTGTGTGTATTTACATATAAATATATAGGTTCATTATGTACATATAGAGTCATTATCCACCTCAATGACCATAAGGAAAACTGAAGCCCAAAATTCCCCATTGGTAAAGCCCCAGACAACTGTGCCTGAAATTAGCAGTAAGGGTGAAGTTATGTTGACTCAAAGGCTGAGTAACGAAGCTTGACTTTGGTCAGCTGCCTAAATTTTTGCTGACTCCTGATACACACCACCAGCCACTCAGTGTAGCATTTTTGTACATTATGGAGCTTCAGCTGTCCTAGAAATCACACCACTGCAGCTTCATCTGTTACTTTTCTTGAACTACTGAGATTAGTTCTCCCAATAGCAGATAACTCCTCCATGTGTTATAGGCATCTAAATCCTCACAGAGCTGGATTAATAAAAAAATAGAATGTCTGTTTATGCTGCAGACTCCAGATCTATTTCTATCAGTAACAGTACTGTAAGTACTATTTTTCCCCATGTATTTAAGGTCTAATAACTGTTTAATGCTAAATCTATATATTAGAAGATAGATCTAACCTAGTCTAAATTGAATAAATATTTTAGGATACATTCACATTTCAGAGAGCAACATAAACCATCTACTTCCAATGACTTTTACAGCCAATTTTTCAATAGAATAAAATTATATGGACATTAAACTGTGATTTTTTTGCATGTATGTATGAAGACGTGCCTCTTACTGGGATGTAGACACCTGCTTCTAGGCACGAACATGATCCAGCATTGGATGGATAGAAAGATGAATTCAGATGCTACCTATCACCCTGAAAAGGTAGATACGTTCTAACCTACAGCTAAAATTGCCATTTTGGCATCTGGGCTACAGCTTCTACAGTAATCTACTGTTATAACTGTATCACTGAATAAGTGTCATGGGTTCCAGGCTTTATTGTAGCCTATGAAGGACTGACCTCACACCTTGGAAGACTGTCCAAACTATCAGGCCCTAGCACAATTTCTTCATCTTTCCATTTCTTCCTTTGAAGCTGGACCAGAAGTGCTTGTGGAGAATCATAGGAAATCAATTAGGGTCCTCGATATTGAGGAAGGATGAGAGGAAGAAACTGGAGTTCATATGCTCTAATTCTATTCCCCAGACTTTTTCTTTTTAAATGTAATAATGTAAAATGTATTTGTGAGTGCTATTTTGGAAAACATGTTCTGCCCCTCTCATTTCCCCTTCAGCAAAACTTCTCTAATAATTTACTAGCGCTTATTAGCTTACTGTAGAAACAGGCTGTGCTTGTGCTGTTTTCTTTACATATTTACTCTCAGAAGAAACCTAGGCAAGATGGCTCGTGTACAGGTTGACATACCTAAAATTTATTTTTATGTCTTTAGTTATCTATCAAAAATTAACTGGGGTTCTTTAAAATTGTCTGTTTGCTCAAAGAGATAGAAAAAAACTGGGATATGTGGATTGGGCCTTCCTTCTTGGGTCTCCATTCACAGGCTGTACAGGGAATGTAAGCACCTATACTGAGACACTTTCCTGGGACGAGGAAGTTAAAACAGTGTTAAGACAGAACTGAAATGAGACCCTGAGTTAGGAGCTGGCTTTCACCCTATCAATTTTTGCTGAAGGTGCCCAGAGCTGCTGGGAGTGGTTGGCACTGTATGTCTCAGCAATCCAGTATAGTTCAGAACTACTCAGGAGTATTGGACAGTCCCAGTTTGAGCCAAAGTGAAGTTTCACTTATTCTGGAGCAATTGTAAGAAAAACGTTGTAAGATTTGTATTTGTAACCCAAACATTTATATTCAGCATTTACATATTGTTAAATACAGTAAGTGCTTATCCAGACACTTAAATTTCAGAAGTACAGTTTCTGCTTTTACAGACTAATCTGTCTCTAGAATAGCATCTTTCTGTTGTGATATTTTGCAATATATTGTTCTAATTTTTTTTGCTTCTACTTCCTCAATTAAGGAGCAAAATAAAAAATGATACCTTGGGAGATTAGGAAGTTATTAAGAAGAGAAACTTACTCAGAAAAGGAACTTCTTGTTCCTTGTAGATGCCAAAATCAAACAGAAGACATCTAATTTTTTCTTCTTGGCTACAGCATATCTGTACATTTTAGTATTCTTTATTTTCCGCTACAGGAACTGACTGAACATTGTCCTTATGTTTACCCTCTTCAAACAAAGCCCTATTCAGACTTTTCCAGATAGATGTTTTTATTTCACAGTTGCACCTCTATAGTTTCACCTGGACAGATTCTCTTCAGTATTTCATCAGTGCCACAGGTGGAGATCATTTGCGATGATTTCAAAGTTATTATTGTTTCAGTTTGCAGATGAGAGAGAACAGATAAGCTATTAATGTCCCTGAAGGGAAATTATTTTCTCTTGTTCCAGCAATGAGTCAGCAACATGTAATGATGTATGTGATCATCTCATTGCAGGAATTTTCAGACAACTGTACACAGGGTGTTAACTTGTTTGCTGCGTTTTATCTATTTCATATTGAATTATTGCATTTAGAAAAACCTTCTGTCTTGAAAGAGCAGCGTAACAGAATTGTACAAAAGAGTGGTTTTTGTGTGTAGTGTAAAAGAATTTAATTTATTTTACCCAAGCTTTGACATACCTTTACTCTCTGAATTTATTTATAGTTACACACATCTGCTGTGTGTTTTAATTCAGGTGGTTTTTTTTTTTTTTTTTTTTTTTTTTTTTCTCCTGTTCTTTCTACCTGGCACCTCTCAGGGCACCATGGAAGGTGAGCACGGCCTCCATGCCCAGCATCACCAGGGAGAACTCAGTGCAGAAGAGAACCCAGCTCTGGTGCCACTGAGATTTGACATCTACAAGGGTCTTTTCCTCTCTCTTCTTGGAATTTTAGGGAAGCAGACAAATGTCTAGCCGAGTGCCAAGCTTTCATATATATCCGTAAGAACCAAATTGGGGACTTCCATTCAGATAATGCTCCCAGATTTGGTTACAGTTTCTCCTGTAATGAATGACTGGCTCTTCACCTTCATGTTTTATCCTTATCTTTATTTCACACTTCCTTTTCTGTCCTTTTCCCTTTAACACTTTTCAAAACTCTTCCCCTCCACACCCCTCCCACATTTAATTTAGCTCTTTCTAATCAATACAGAAACTAACATGAAAGTGCAGCTTTCACACAGCACAAACAACTTTTTTTGCTAGTTCCTCTAACTCTACCTTCAGTCTTCCCTTCCTCTGTGTTTTCGGTAAACTTTACAGGAAGTGTGTATCTGCATTTGTATAGGTGCTAGACATAGTGAAGCAGGGCTTCACTCTTTGATAGCCCTCAGGCACGATCAAATGGTGTCATAACATATCTTATAATTGATGGCTATACTTTGATGACAGAGAAACTTGTATGCAAGATGAGTTTCATTCATCTTTCTACTTTCCTATTAGACCTATGTGCAAATGTTCAAGCTAAGATTTTCTGTCTGAATCCATAGCATCATATGCTTATCAGACTGATATTTAAACCTTCATTTTGAAGCTGTTTAATTTTGTCTAGTTAATGACCAAATTAAAATCAGGCACACAGTGCAATTAGACATGCGTGATAAAGTACTACACAACAGCAGAAGCAAAGCAGACCTTTGCAGAAGAGCTTTTAACCTGTGACATAAACAAAGCAATGTGGTGTAATTTTGTCATTGTATTTATTAGTATTTACTTTCAATTTTAGATGCTTGATGACAGTAAACTGAATTTATTTGGGGAAGAGGACTGTTTTTTATCACTCGTAGCAAAAGAAAGCATGGTTAATCTGCCTTATCTTCACTTTTTAACATTATTCACTGAGGAAAGTAGGAAAAATGTTTGGTCAACACTTTTTGAAAAGTGCTTATGTTTTGAAAAGTTATGAATCAACCCAGATGTCTGAATCAGCTACATTTTACAAACCTGCCACAGGACCTATCGGTTAAGCAGTTATAAAGGATTAGTCTTGTGCTGTAAATATAGACCCTGAATTATACTTACTGTTACTGCAGCACTGTGGTAAGCCTTTAAAAATGGTGATGGAGAAGTGGCAGAAGAGGAGCTGGGAGGGGGGGAAGAGGTGGAGATTATCTGTGAGAAGTTAACTATTGATTGTACTGTGCAGATGTTGCTAAAAGAAATGACAGAACAAAAAAAAAAAAAAAAAAAAAAGGAGGAATGGAATTTCCTTCAATTCTGTGAGACAGAATAAACACATTTGTTTAGGCCATGCTTGAATCTGAGTTATTTCAATATGAATTAAATTACCTTCACTGACTGGAGGGGAACAAAGAGCACAAAGGGACAAAAAAGGGGAGCAGCAGCTGAACCTGTCCATGGCATGCACTTAACTGTTACTGGGAACATCCTTGGCTTTATCGGGAAGTTCAGTGAAAGTCTTAGACAGGTTTACTTAGTGAAATCATAACTGCTTTATGAATTTTCTCTTTACCTATCTAAGAAGTTATACCTCAACTTCCCTTCTGAGATGTGAAAGAAAACAGAGGAACTGGGAAGATTTTTCTTAAGTGAAAGAAGTTTTTTGGGAGTTCAGCAAATTAAGTTAAAGCCTTCACCTCTTACTGAAAAACTCATGACAATTTAGGAACATCTAGAAAAAATTTACTATTTGCTCTTATTTTTTCATTTTCCCCCAAGGCACTGTGAACATGTCCTTTAGGTACATTTGTAAAACTTGTTGTCTTTTGTAATCAGTTTTTATTCTTTGTGTTTAAACTTCAGGGAGGAAAACTTCTCTTCTAGGGAAGAGTTGTGTTTAAAACAACAAAAAAGTAGGTGGACTGCTTATTTTAGATAAAAGAATATACACTTGAAAGTAATTTGCTTTGTCTGTTTTTGTTGCTCATGTCAGATCTATTTACTTCACCTGCAGGAGTAATCTGGCTTCAGTTATTTCCACACTTTGGGTTGAAATTCTATTGAAACACAAAAATACAGATGTGTCTGCTACAACTGCAAACTTTCTAATAGGCTCAGTAAAGAAGTATCTCTTTCTTTTTTCTTTTATAGAATCACAGTGTAGGATTCTACGTACTTGCTGCAACAGCTCTGCATCCTTCTTTTGCTGGGGTCCTCAGATATGGACACAGTATCCCATACAAAGCCTCATGAGGGCAGAGCACATGGGAAACACTCACCTCCTTCTCCCAGCTGGCCATTCCTCTTTTGATGCAGCCCAGGATAGAGTTGGCCTTTCAGGCTGTGGATACGCACTGCTGGCTTTGTCCAGTTCTTTGTCTGCCAAGACCCCCTAGTCCTTCTCCACAGGGCTGCCTTCAACAAGTTCTTCTCCTGGTCTGTACATGCCTGGGACCTTGCACTTGGTCTTGTGGCACCTCATTAGATTCACATAGGCCTAGTTTTCGTGCCTGTCTAGGTCCCTCTGGATGGCATTCTTTCCTTCTATTTTATCAGCTATGCTATTCAGCTTCGTGTCATCTGCCAACTTGCTGACAGGGCACTGAATCCTACTGTCTGTGTCATTGAGAAAGATACTGAAGAGCACTGGTCCAAAGAGAGATACCTGGGGGACAGCATTCATGACCAGCCTCCACCTGGACATACAGCTACTGACAACAATTTGCATGTGTTCAGATTTCTAAAAGTGTTTATTTCCCTGAGGACAAATTATTCAAATTTTCACAATTTAGGAAGGATATATTTGTATAATAGCTTATTAAAATAAAAAATATATATTCATAACAAGTTATCTTACGGACAAGGATTAACTATTTATATTTTGCCAGAGTGTAAAGATATGATAGCTATTTTAGGTTCTTAGTCTTAATCAGATCAAAGCATCTTCCTATTTTTCTTCTTCCAGTGGAAACATTCCCTTTTAATGGACAATACAAACTCTTACTTCTTCACCATAGTGTATTAAATACATTACTGATCAATTAATTGTTCTAAGTCATATTTTGTGTCACTGAGAAAGACAAACATCCCAATGTAAGGTTTTTTTCAGTACTATGTGCACAGATCTCCCTCTCCCTATACAATATCTTGCTTCTCATAATTCTGGAGGCTCTGATGACAAATTACCAGCCTTTATGTCTTATCAGATATGATTATATAAGGAATTTCATAATAAGGTAAAGCAGAATATTGTCCAAAAGAGAATCTGAAAACTTTAATTTGATTTATACACTTCAGAGATGCCAGACCTGGAATATACTATGCTAAACCTAAGTGTTTCATGACAATTCACTTAAATCATTTCAGAATGTTCAGATTTTATTCCAATTTTTCAGAATTTCAGAATATTTGCTCACAGTGCCTGTCTTGGAGAGTGATAGATTTTGATACTCTTTTCAGGATTCTCATGGTGGAAACCTGCTTCATCAAAGTCTTGCAGAAAAACCCAAGAAATTGGATATACTCGAGTACAGAGTTAAGCTGATGGAAATTGATACCACATAGGAAATGGGTAGTACTGATCATTTCAAAATAAAGAGAACTGAATATTCCTGTCCTATATCAAGCCCCAACATTTTGCTGAACCTATATCTAAAATAAGCATTTGAATTAGATGGAATAATTTCCATCATTGTTGGTTTCTTAACAATTATGCTATCTAAAACATTAAACAACTGTTATAAATACATATGTATATATATATATATAAAATTAAACATACATTTTTATAAAGTAGAGATTCTTTTTCCCAAGTATCACCTGCTAAACCATTAATGTTTCACTAAATAAACCAGGAGAAAATCTAGTTCCTTTGTGCTTTATATTGCTAGAAGTACTCCATTTTTATTATTTTTTTAATTTATAAAACACTTGCTAGAAATCTATGGTTTGCTTTTTTCTTCAAAACTATATTAGTTACTTGTACTACCTAGTGATGGTTCATTCTGACTGTCAGATTGCTGCATCATTTACTTTTGTGGTTAATTTTTACTAAAAGAAACCATTGATCGCTCCCCAAAGTTGTTTAAATTCATATACCTGAATTATCAAGAAATACAGTCCAAATATCACAGCATTTCCCAAATTCTCTCTCTTCAAACACTGTGTCCTGCAGCTCCTTTCATTCTGTTCCAAGAAAGTGACTCATGACTCTTTATTAATCATGAAATATGTTAATCTAGTGACTACACTAAAAATGTCGTTTTCTCTTCTCCCCATAGCTTGAAGGAAATATCCCTGCCAAGTCACTATCTCTAACACTGATCTTGTATTAGTAGTGTACATGTAACCTGTTCATGACTGAATCTTTAAAGCCTGGCCAAATGGTACTTTTACATGTTAATGTGGATCTAATTACATTTTCAATAGACTGCATCGTTAATTGCATGAATAATTGTAGTAATTTAAGATTAAATACTGATTTCATTTCAAAAATGAAGACAAAATCTCTTTCTGTCTGTAGACTGGATAGTGTTTTGCCCTGTTCAGGCATAAATTTATTGCTGGCATATGGCACATTTTAAAATTGTTATTATTATTATTATTATTTTTATTATGTGCTGAAATAATCTGAACTGGAAATAACTGTAATAACCTACAATGGAAGTAACCTGTTTTTATGAGTTTGATGGATGGGTTATTCCACCGTCAGGAATTAAACAGAGATATTGCAGTGTTAGCTTCAGATACATTCTCCTGGTATCATCAAGGCCAAGTCTGGAGAAAAAAATTGTGTTTGTATAGAGATGGTAAGTGGAGCAGTTCATACTCTTAGTTATGTTGTGCCCTCTGGCAAGCCTGCCAGGAGAGTGCTGTGCTTGTTTTGTGATGAGAAACCTCCTCCACATTCCAGCCTGAGCGTATCTATTGTTTTCGGATGCAAACAGATGTGTTCCTTACCTAAGGGAAGCTCTCAAAAATATGGAAGTAAAACAGAAGAAACTGATGTGAAACTACAACAGTATTTGACCTGTCTGCATGCATTAATAATCTCAACTTTAGCTGAAGGCAGAAGTCTGTTATATTCAGTTCTATTTATTTGCTTAGTTTCTGCCCTACAGTGCAGAAGAGCAATGGAGGATATGAGTATTAACTTCATGCTTTTAACTTAAATCAGCATTTTGTTAAATTTCTATGTGTTTATTATATTATTCCTAATTGTTAAAAGCCAGATAGTTCAGATTTGTGGAGCTGGTGAAAGAAGGGTAAACATTATATTCTTTATTCTAACAAACCACCTGGTTTGTTTGTCTCAGGCCAAAATTACAAAACTTCTGTTGACCAAACTATATATCCATAAAAGCTCTTCCCAATAATTCTCATATAGTAAATGAATTTTATTTTGGTGCATCTCTGCTGAAGGATAACAAAGCATTTATTCATAACTCTTGAAGGTTTTTTTTGTCTGTTTGTTTGAGAATTTTAATTCTATTACTTTTCTGTCTACAGTGTACTGACCTGTCTTTTCTAGCCTTCAAACTGATGCCTGTAGGATGTTCAGACACTTGTTACACTTCAGATGTCTGTGGGAGGTGAAGCAACAGCCCACAAGTGGGTCAGGGCTGCAGCTCCTTCATGAACACAAATGTGCAGAAGCTCGTGGGTGTGCACCTTGTCACGTCTATGTCTCAGCTACAGCAAAGACTGTATGAAGAAATCACAAAGTGCTAGTGTTGAGTACCTAATACTAGTATTCAGAAAAAGTAGCGTGCATTGGAGGACAGCAGGAGGAGGGTGTGAGCAAAGAGAGAAAGAAAGCATTCAGCACAGTGTAAGTGCAGAGATAGTGAAGAATTACTGAGATGAGGTGCAGTAAGCCAACAACTCATCTGCAGTACCTCGTCTGCACAGCAGCACGTCACAGTATGACGCTGTCTGACCAGCAGCTCTCCAGCACATAATGCTGCTGCTGCTGCTGCTGCTTCCTTTGGCGTCTGTGTTGTGCCAGAGTATAGACAGATGTCCTGGATTAGAGAACTCTCTACAAGGTTACTTTCATCCCACAACAGTTTGCAAAACTAGAAGCTAGGATGTCACAAACCTTATTTAAAAGCAAAGATGTCTCAGATAAAAAAGAACTGTATATTCTTGCAAATAAGAATTTCTGAAATGTAAGTTTTCGTGGGGTGGGATTTAGTGACTTTCATGCTGATATTTGAAACTGATGGGCCTCCATGAAAAACAGTCATAAATTTCTTCTAGATTTTCTAATAGATTTTGACTTCAGACCCTGTGATCGAAAAAATATTATTGAGGCAGTCATTAGCTTGATGTCTCCAATAATACAGACCCAGTTTTCAAAAACAGCATTTCAAAGTGAAAATAACTCCTCAGTGCATTCTCTGCATGCTGGTTGACCTTTTTCAGCGAATCACGGAATCTCTTAGCTTAAAGACCATCTAGTTCCAATCTCTCTGTAGGGGAAGGATTGCCATCCACCAGATCAGGATTCCCAGGGCTCCATCCAACCCAGCCTTGAATGCTTCCAGGAATTAAATAGGCCATTGGCTCCATTATTTTATACTGCATAAATTGTGTGTATTGTACAAAACAATATAAACTATAAAACTATACATATATTTTATTTATTCATTTTTAAATTTAAGGGTATCAAATTGTCAGACTGGAAGCTGTGTTTCCTCAGTCCTGGAATGATGAAACTGTAGTGCTTCAAGGAGAAAAGGACAAGAATTTAAAAAAACAATATGGCAAAAATAATAGAAGCATTCAAAGAAATACCTGCTTAGAACATGGAAATTGACTTTTCTTAAATAATCTCAATTCCAAATAATTCAGTTTCAACATTGAAGAGCAAGTAATGTCTCAGATTTTTAAAAGTCAATGAGAAATAGTTTGAAATGAAATATAAACTAGAACTATCTGCAACAAAATGATAATTACTAGTTCAAGACTCTTTTAGATTTTAAGCAGCCTCATTCAGAAGTAAATTATAAAGTCTATTTTTTTTTCACAGAGCAAACAAAATTTCCTGTAGAAATTCTCAAGAATTATCACTGTAGACAACTATCTTTGTTCTATCATGATAGACTGCTATCTTTGTTCTCTATTTGTTATGTCTGAGTGTGCAGCATTTTTAAACCTTGGTTTTCATGCTACTGCAATGTGATTCATATCTTGTGGCTAAAATGATTGGCTTTTGTTTCCAAAATTTCTGCTGTGAGAAGACATCTGTTGAAATGAAGATAGCTTGTAGATGAAATATGTAAATTATAGCCTCCACCAGTAAGAGGAGGTGACATCACAAGATGTGACAACATTCTTCACACAGTTGCAGTAGAATAGACACATCACCCACTGTATATGAGGAACCATTCTTTCTACTTCAAAAAAAAGCTTTCATGTGATGCTTGCATGTGATGATGATTTGCATAATGTCCATGTTTTAGATATATATGTTACTCTTGTTGTAGATTCAACTGTTGTTTGAAATGATATAATCACAACTATTACTCCTCCATAAAATCTATTCTATTTTCACATACTCCTCCATAAAACCTATTCTATCAACACCACTTCTGTTACATAGAACAGAGACTCCTTTCTGTAGCAAGAAACTTGTTCAATGTGAAATCCAGCCTTAACTCATAAGAGCAGAGGGTTTTTCATATTCAAATGAAGTTTATTGGGCTGTAATGGGAACTGTATGACATGTTAGAGCAGGAGTACTCATTTACAGGAGCTACATACTGCTGGTGGCATCTCCCAAGCTTTGAAGAGCATTTACGTCGCTAGACTAGAAATCCATATTTTTGCACCCCTGTGCTTCTCT